TACAAATCAATATCACTTGAAATTTGGAATGTCCATTCTTCAAAAATAGAAGAATCTAATAAAAATATAAAAAAAATAATTCACAAAATATAAATTTATCAAAATAATCCCGAAGCATTTCAGGGGTATTTTGTTCAATTTATATTTTACAAATTATGTTTTTTATATTTTTGTTAGGTTTTTTTTGATGAGAAGAATGAATACCTAAAATTTCAAGTGATTTGGATTTGTAGAAAAATAAATAAAAATTCAAATATAAAATGAGATTGTAACCGTCAGATCAGCTTAGATTGAATTTTAGTCATTGACTGACACTGTAGCAGTCAGCCTGTGGGCTGACAGAATCCACTCCCTATACATTGTTCATACTATAAAACTATTTACTTTTAGTATTAGGAAGCCACTATTACTTATGGCCCTCAATTGTCAAATTTGATAGCCAAAGTGTATTACAAAGCTTGAAAAAAAATATTTTGACTTTTGAGCTTAGTTACCATAGCAAACATAAATGACCCAAATTCACAAAGAACAGGCAAAAATAATTGTGACCTCCATGTACCTAGATTTAAATGGTCTTATTGTATAGTTTTTTTATGTTTAGAGACTATTATGATTAGTAGAACTATCTTTGAGTTGTTTTAAAATCGCCAAGTTAGTTTGGAACCAACTATCAAATTGATCTGGACCTTAAAACCATTGGTTTTGCTGAGTTCCCGCTTATTCTTAAGGGTTTTCTTTTTCATTTTTTTAATTTAACTTATCCATAGTAAAAATCCCAAACAATTGGCGAATCCAATCAAGCGGTTTTGAGCCAGCTTGAAACTTGGTGACTAGTTCGACTCACTAGGTTTGATCGAAAATTGATAATATTTAATCAGTTTTGGTCAGTCGAATCAGCATGTATGTATCGGTTCAAGACAATATAAATGAAAGTAGGCAAAAATTTTATATCATTAAACCATTATATCTATTTGTTTTTTTTTTTAAACAAAAATCTAATTATATCAATTTGACCAGCACTCGAACTGATTTTGATTTTGATTGATCCAAATTCTCACTAATTCGGTGACCAGCCTGGTCCTGATAACACAGCTTTATATAACTTTCTCCTTGGCAAAGCGCTTTTTTTTTGGAAAAAAAGACCAAAAAACAGTCAGTACCAGGATCCTCCATCATGTATGATAAACATATGCTCAATTATGGAACACTTCACGTTTGCATGAGAAAAGGCACGAGAGAGAGAGAGAGAGAGAGAGCACATGAGATAGAGAGAGAAAAAAAGTCATTCCAAAACTGCCCTTCAAGTTTCAAAAACAAATGTTCCATGCATGCAAATCCTTGAAAGGTTACTCTGTTTTTTCAGAAAACCGGGAGAAACCCACCATTGATTCATCTTCTGCAACGAATTAGGGTTACGAAAAGGTTCATATCCCCTTCAGACCCTGCAACTCTTTAACAGTGAATTAGGGTTAATGAATGCAATATCTCATTTTCTGCTTCAATATGCATATGCATATCTTCTGATCTTCTCTGTGTGATCTTGATCTTTAACATTTATATCTCCATTGAAAAATATTTCCAAATTTCACACCTGTCTGCGAAATCTCCGAAGATATATCGGAGATTTACACTTTATTGAAGACACAGATCTCCTCCTCAGCAAATTTCATATCCTCTTTGCTTATCATTTTTCCATTAAATTCTATGTTTCACTAAAACATAAGAAGGATTTCACTTTTTGTGCTGTAAATTGATGGTAAATTAAAAGAATCAAGCAAATTCTTTCCTAATAGCCAATTTTTTACGTACGGATTAAAAAATTTTTCTAAAATTACAAAATGCCCAGGTAGAAATTACAATAGAAAGTTGGTCAACTACTTATTTTTTCAAAATTACCCCTTGGTCCGAAGATAAAATCCTCGGACCAAATTTTATTTAATTTTTTAAAATTTTTTGTCAATAAGGAAAATAAAATTAAAATTGAAACTAACAAAAGACTAAAAAAAATTCGGTCAAAAAATCTTCGGATCAAGGGAAAATTTTGAAAAAATAAAAAAACACGAGATAAATTAATTTTTTTTTTAAGATCCGTATCTAAATCACGCTATTCTAAATATCCATAAAAATCTATTGTATTTTATAGCCAAGTTGAGCAAAGATGAGCTCATTACAAGACATTTGGGCAAACATCTTATACAGTTTCCATTTATAGTAAAGAAGCTTTGATTACTCGAAGTCGTGATAATTGCCTGTTCACGAGGTTTTTGCCTACAACGATCTGATAAGCCCATATCTGGTAAAACTTTCCACTTATAGGAAAAGAAAATGTGATAAGTTTAAGGGCTTCACGTTCTTTGCGCTAGGTCTTGAAAGGAAGCTTTGCACGATTAATCATTATATCAAGGTTTTTTTCCGATCACTTTTGAGGGGCTTTTACATTTCTTTGGATAAAGGGTCGAGTGAATCCGTCACCCACTTTATCTGTGTTAGACTCATTTATTTTGATCGGGTTTGGATCCACTTGACTTATTTGAAACCGATCCTAGCTAATCTGAATGTTGGACGCGTTCTGGTACCGGTGGTTGGGCTTGAGTTTGAATGACTTACTTGACTGAATTGGGTTTGGTTGCCCATATGCCTGTCTGGGTGGGTTGGTTAGGTCTGTCTGGAACCCGAATGCGAACCCTGCGTGTTTATAGGTCTATAAAGGAGTTATAAAATCAAAATTATTAGACTTTTCGACATTTTTAAGTGAAATAGTGTTTCTTAAAATTAGGACTAAGCTTTATCAAGTGCTTTAGTATGATGGCCAAAATCTCAAGAACATCGCTTTCTCAACAAGATGTTTAGCATGATTTCCATCATACATTTTAGTATCCATTCAAAGTAGGGTGCAGTTGGCATACAGATGCATCCGTAGTTGTAGAGGTAGGGTGCACCTTCAAATTTTATCATGGTATATAATTTTGATGTAAAATGTTCTTAGGATTATCTCAAAATCTAAATTTATATCTAAATATAAAATTTTAAATTTCAAAAATGATTAAAATCAAGTAGATTTATAAACATATGAAAATATTGAAAATTGACGATGTAAATAATATGTTGTAAAATGCACTATTTCTGAGACTTAAAATCTTTTTATTTTTTATGGTCGTATATCTCAACGTCGAGATGATCAATTAAAGGATTTTTCAACATTAAAACTATCTTTTCCAATGGATTTTTGAGGTGCATCCGTAGTTCTACATTATAAGGTTGCATCCTTATATAAACTTTTTCCTTTAAAGTATCTCGTCTATCATTTATGCAGTTTCTCTATAAAGCAAGAAAATCTCAAAATCAAAGTAAAAAAACCCTAGAATCAAATGGCAATTAGTTGCAAATGCGTTGGTTTGAGTCCGATTGACCAACAATCGTACTCAATCTGATGGGGTTGAAGCTATTGCAGGGTTTGACACAAAATTTGGACATAAAAAATATTTTCATCATCATCATCCGAGCTTTATCTTAATTATTTGTATCAAGTACACAAATCCTATTCTACCATTATGCTCTATCAAAAAATCATTATTAGCCAAATCATAAATCATTTTATCTCTTCGCACTATTTCCATCCATGTCAGTTTTGACCTTTTCTTTGTCTTATTAAAACCTTCCACTTGAACTATATCATTGTCCATAACTAACGTTGTTTCTAATATATATTTCATGATATACAAAATAAATAAGAAAATAGTTATATTAAGTGTCGACCTTATACTATTGAAGTAAAACAAACCTAAAAAATCCTCTAATAAAGAGCGTTGTGCCGTTAGATAACTCTTCAATGGATCTTCTGAACCTCAAGATGTATGGATAGGAAGAAGAAAAAAATTTTAAATCCCATAAATATTACATCATGTAAGAACTTAATCTAACCATCTATTTGCAAAAAATTTCAAGTGTTCATAGATATATTAGGTGTATACCATTTTTCAACTTTTAAATTTTAAATATACGGGATGAATATAGATTTTCAAGTAATCATAAAGTCCCTAACGTTGAAACTACATCTCCATGCAAAATTTAGAGGTGCCCTTACTTCTGTATGGTCTAGACCCATACCAAGGCTAGGTGGCCCTACAAATGCAACACCCATTTACTATCCCTCTTTCCCTAAAACCCTTGCATCCAATTTCTATTTATGGTTCAAAACACAGCCAAAAGAAATAAAACTTTCCTAAAACATCTTGCTTAACTGGATATTATCCCAAAATTAAATTAAGAAAATCCTTTACATTTCTCCTCCATTTTATATCCTCATAATCTAACTGTAAATTCTACATTAGAATCGAAAAAAACCTTTAAATTCATAAGAATGTAACTGTTCTGATTCTCTTAGAAAATAAAACAGTCTTTCAAAAAAGCATTTTATGTGCATAAAAAATAGAAAGCAAACCATAAAAACAGAATCACAGGTATTCATTTACAAATCTCAACAAAAGGCACACATCATTATACCCAAATCCGTTATATATATTCCGAAGATAAAAAATACATGACCCCAAATCCGTTATATATTCCAACACTTAAAACATAGCACCTCAAATCCGTTGTATCATCGTCATCATTATTAAAACTTTTTTTTAATCATTTAAAATATTATACGAATCTTGATCGGCCACTCTATACCTTATTTAAAATTATTATACAAATCCTGATCGACCACTTTACTCTTTAAAAAAACCGTACCCATCCTTTTTTCTTTTAATCTTTCCATTTAAACCAATTCGTACCTTCATTTGGATGCACCCGTTTGTCATTTTTTATCCTTTCACTTGAACTAACTCAATATTTTTATCAAGTGCTATATTGTACTTCTTAAACTAATTTTGAATCCGGTGTATATATTTCGTAAATAAAAATACAATATCCCGAATATTAATATAAATACAAAAAGCCAAAACACACCATTACATACATATCCATTATATATATATTTCTTAAAAGATAATACCATGCATACAGTTTCCAATACTACCCGTCTAAAAACTAAGATCCCCAAAACACAATTTTCTTTCTACACACACAAAAAAAATCTACTTTTTGCAATTCTCTCTACTTAGAATCCTCTCTCCTTCAGTATCCTCCCTCTCTACATTATAAGAAAGTATGGAAATTCGAAAATTTAGAAGAGAATGGCTGATAAAACGTCACCAACTGCCGGAATATCAGAATCCAGAATTCGTCCTCTGCCTCTTCAAACCTCCTGAAAACATTTTGCGGTCCTCTGGCGACCTGTGGACCACCTGCTTGAGCGCCTCTTGCAACATCCCGGCTGTCAGGTCGCCGCAATCCAGAGAGTTTTGGCCGGAATCTTCACACGTGACATGAAGCACATGCCTCATCCGTCCCTCTAGGGTTTGGATCTCGGCCCTTATGGTCTTGAGGCGAAGGGATTTAAGGGTCGTGATCAACTCCGGTAAGAGATCTGAACGATCGTCGCATGAGAAGGAGGCCATCACGACCGGCTGACCCGAGGACTTGCCCGAGTCAGATGGGAACTCGCCCGAACACTCGACGGTGACCTCGTCGGACTCGTCCGGGATGGGGCCCATGGCTGAGATTTCAGAAGTCTGAAGCTTGAGCTCTTTCAGGCGTCGGATCGCTTCGGCGAGCAAGGAGGCCTTGTCCCTCTGCATGGGCACAAGCAGATTAATATAAATACCATTAACTATACTCCTAATGATGCAGACGTCCTGAGCTTCCTCTTACCAGAGGCTAGTTCAGTGAAGAACGGAGCTTCTAAGGCAAGACTAATCTCACCGGAAAACGTTGTTTTTTTTGTTCGACATAGGTCACCGGAAGCGGTTGTCAGACTTTAAAAGAAAGAGAGGGTACTTTACCCTCGAAAATTTCAAAAAATTAACATCTGCTATAAACATTTTTCCGGCAAAATTTTTAAAACGTGTGAACCTTAAACAATCGAAGTAACGCACACCTCTAACTGTGCAGAAAGATGCCGAAAAGCTCTCTCATAGCTCCAAAATCTATTGTCATCCCTTATCATAAAATTTAAAGCTCCAAAAGCAATGTAAATCACTTAAAAATATTGAAAATGAATAGTTCAGTTAATACGTTTCGAGATGCACTATTGTTATGACTCAAAAATCTTTTTCTTACCATCCATACATTTCGATAACAGAGAGTTTTCTGGGTCCGCGCAACTTTTTTAAGCGTGTTTTTGGACTTCCCCATGTAGGGCCAGGGCCAGGGCTAGACTTAGCCAAGACGTTCGGGCCAATCCCCGGCCATGATCCACTGGACTAGGCCTGCATTTGGGTCGACTACCCTCGGGAAAGACGCGAGGGTGGTGGAATTAGCAGCCCATACCCAGTCATGTTATGCTTTTCATTCTCACTTACTCTTGAATAAAAATAAATAAAAAAAAAGAAAAGCAAAAGAAGGGTAAGGGGCTTGTCTTCCACACCAAATTACTGTCCACTCATGAGGCCGATTTATCGCACATATGGGTCTGGTCCCATATACTAGGTGTAGATTCCAGGCCATCAAGAGCTTGAGCTTATCGGGTTGGGTCTGTTCGGGTCTGGGCTGACCTCGACTAACCATATATTTGTAAATATTACATGTCAAATACCAATATCTGTTGGGATAAGGCTGATGATATTCATATGCTGATTAAAAGGAAAAAAGTTTATTTAAAGTTGCAACCTTAAAATATAGAATTAAAGATGCACCTTAAAACCCATCACAAAAGATTGTTTGGATGTTGGAAAACCCTCTAATTAAGCATCTTGATATAGTAGATCATGCAACACATTATCTGGACTGTTCACTTTCAATATTTTCATATGTTTACATATCTACCTGATTTGAACCATTTCTAGCGTTTAAAATTTTATAATTGGAGACGAAAATGGATTCTCAAGCCATTCTAAGAAATTTTGGATATCAAAATTACATCTATGATAAAATTTAGAGGCGTGCCTTAATTGGATTGTTTAAGATTGCAACCTCATGCAAACCACACCCATTTATAAAAAGTATAAATAACAAGAAATCTATGTATATTTTTATTAGACCCAGACCCGACCGGTCCTCTATATGGGGGTCGACCCGGAACCGACCGCATGAACCCTTATATAGAGGGGCTTCGGTGGTAATATCGAAATTGAGAGGGATAGGACTATCTCTGAAGGGAGGACAGTTTAGCTAGGTTGAAGAGGTATGGGGGTATGATGGGAATGTGACCGAAAGTGTGGGGGTGCTTTTGTCAAGTTATGACAGACAAGGAAAAGGAATGGAACTTTCAGTTCAGTGTCCGGAGTGGGAATAGGCTTTTGCGCCCCCACCTTTCCCAAACCCTAACCCTAACCCTAACCCTAACCATAACCCTAAAATCTGACTCCCGTCCTTTACCCACGTCCAAGAAAACTGAAATACAAGACGAGACGAGACATTCTTTTACTCAAAATTGGAACCAGCAAATTTAGAGAGAGAAACAAACAGCGAGACAGATTCTGTGTTACAACTTTAGAGAGAGAGAGAGAGAAAGATGAGATAGAGAGAGATTCTCCATTTACATACACATCACACAGTAACTGCAATAGAAACCTGGAAAACGAGAGAGAGGTTTCATGTTTTACATGGTGGGAGAAATGGATTGGAATCCATGAAAAGAGAAGAGGGGACCAGGAAAATGAGCATGAGGTACGCAGAAGATAGAGACCCATATTGCAACCTAGAGAGAGAGAGAGAGATTATCGAATTAAAACCCAAAATTAATAAAAACCCAAAACATTGCGTGGAGAGAGAAATCATCGAATTAAAAGAGACCCAAAAAATAGTGGAAAGAGAGAGATTATCGAATTAAAACCCAAAAATAATAGAGAGACCCATAAAATAGTAGAGAGAGAGAGCTCAGATAATATGAGTAAGGTGCTAATTAATGGCACACATCACACCACAAAGATTATATTAGAAGAACAAAAACCAAAAAAAAAACAAGAAAAACAGTGCACAAGGTGCTAAGTAACTGCAATTATTGCCTTCCTGCGTTCTAGAGAGAGAGAGAGAACGCTTATCAAGAGAGAGAGAGATCAAATTATGAAAAAGGGAAGCAGCTGAGAGGCGCCGCGGTGTAATATGCCTCTCAGCTGTGTTGGGAAAGAGAGAGAGAGGATGAAAAAAAAAAATGCAAAAAGAGGTATTTCTTTACCTTAACATTACTGGGAAGAAGGTGTCTGAGCTTATCGAAATGTCCATTAATTCTCTCTCTCCTCCTCTTCTCCGCCTCACTGTGGCTCCTCAAAGCCGCCATGGCTTTAGCATCAACAGCCCCTTTCTCTCGCATTCCACCCACCTCAACCCCATGAAAACCATTCCCCCCATAACAATAGTATGACGAAAAGGCATCCAAATTTGCAGAGACCCCCAAAGAAGACGAGGGATCCGCCATTAAAGGTCCGGGTTCAAGCTCCTCATGCGCACCCCAATAGTACCCATAAGACTCACTCTCTTGATTCACTTCTCTCTTTGTCCACATGGTTGAATCTCAAGTTTTCCAGCAAATTTACAGGTGACTTAAGGACTAATTCTCACTCTGTCAGGCAATTTTTTGCCGGAATTTGCAGGCGCCAAAATTTTCCGGCGAGCTAGGCGGATATAGTGTGCGAAATGGGGTTACTCTTGAGAAGTTTTTGTAGAGAGAGAAAGTGGCAGTGTTGTGGCAGTTCGTGGCTTAGTCGCTCAACTATATTAGCACGCTGGTTGCTAGAGCATTTTGGGTTGTGACGAAAATAGCCCTGTGATTTGCTGTAAATTGTAGATCTGCCCTCCATTTTAGAGATTCGAAATTTATTAAAGCTTTAAATAGTGATCCTCCAAAAACTTTTAATTAAAATGGAAATATAGTGAACAAACCATGCTGTGATATGATGAAAATAATCCGATTTTTTAAATTGGGTTTCTTTATTTTTACAGAATCCCTAAGTTAGTGAATGTTATTTTAAATTTCACAGGAAAATCAATATAGTATCTAAAAATATAGTTATCAAGATCAGACCGATCCATCATACTGCCAGTTGATACATCAGCCCATGTAGTTTAAAAAAAAATCCTGAATTTAGTAAAAAAAAAAACTAGTGAAAACTGCCAATTGATACATCAGCCCATGTAGTTTAAAAAAAAATACTGAATTTAGTTAAAAAAAAAAAACTAGTAAAAACTAATGTTCGATCAGTATTGGGGGTTCACTAGCCCCTATTTATATATTGGACTGATTAACTAAAGATATGAACTTTGTAGTAATACATTTCATACTTGAAATTATTATTTTTATTTTTAAAATGGATGTATTTTCTACAAGGCTTAAAGCTTAAAGGTCACCTCGGATCCTCAATCGGAAAATACTTTCATTGTGATAAATATCTATGATTGCTCAAAAATCAATTTCTACGTGTGACTATGAAATCTGTAGTTCAAGACCCTCGGATCCTCAATCAAAAAATACTTTCATTGTGATAAATATTTATGATTACTCTAAAATCAATTTCTACCTGTGATTATGAAATTTGTAGCTCAAAAAATATTACAGATATTGCGGACCCGTGAACACTTGAAAATAAACTGTCTAGATAATATGTTACAATATACACTTTTTTGATACTTGAAAACCTCACTTTTTTTTCACATTCGTAATGGTCAAGGTAGAGATGATAGATATAAAGATTTTTCGACACCGTAACTACGATTTTTGGTGAGTTTTGAGGTGAGGCTTTACTTTTACGAGTTTTTGTGATTTTTGGGTCAGACTTTACTCTTTTTATGAAGATTAGACTTTATTTTAATCTTTTTTCTTTTAAAATTTGGTTTAATTAATTATAACAGTGTTAAACAAATTTTGACCGGACCAAACTTCTCAGTCACTTAAATCACCAGTCCGAATATGATAACACTAATTCAAAGGGAAACTGCTCTTCCTATCATTTTCTCTCCCATCATTCCTAGATTCTTAATATTTCTCCATATGTTTTTATCTTGTCTAGAAGATCTAAAGTACGACCATATCTCTTTAAAGTGACCTTAGATGAATAAGATTTCCCTAAACTATCCTAAAGTCATTGTTTAACCAAGAGCCGGATATTGTTCCTTTGTACATTTGTTTTTTTCCTGTAGCCTTTTCCACATTTATTCTTTTGCAATTAGTTTATCTCTTGTTGTCCTCCTTCCTAGAAGTTTCCCTGTGGAATTAGAGAGAGATATTTGTAAAGGGAAACTTACAAAACTATTCATAAGAGAAACTATTTAAGATTTTT